AAAAAATCATAACTGCTTTATATAAAATTGCATTGTAATTACAGCAAGTAAAATGTTCACAAAAAATGTTTGTAACATGAATATGTCAGAACAACTTGGTATTCATGGGCTGATAGTAAGTCTGTCTTAACCATGTATGTGCGTACATTGGTGTAATAGGAAATCCTTCTCAACAAAACAATGTCAAAAAATGTTAACCTTGTAATGAATTTATGTATGCATTTCAATAGAGATAACTCCTTCTACTACTGTACTTGGATTACTACTACCAAACCAGAGTAAACCTAGCCCGGGATTTATCAATCTCAGCTTAGCAAATGTCTTAAGTCCCTAAGGAAATATCTTAAACTGATTTATCAAACCATCTTAGTGAAATCTTAGCTTAAAAATCGTCTTAGATGGTTCATGCGTACAATCGACTTTTCAATTTTAAGCAATTTTTCAGTTAAGGCAATATTGATAATTTTGACTGAAGCAAAAAAAATGGACTTAGGATGAACTTAAGCTGATTTCTAGTTTGATAAATCCAAACCAGAGTAAACCTAAACATCAAATACTTTAATGTTATTCAATCTGCAACATTTGCCTTTCACCTTCACCCTCTCAGGTCAAAGTTACATATCCAGGAAGGGGGAAGGGAGGAGTGGGGTGAGTGGGAAATAAAAATTACCAGGAACAGTCTAAAACAAGTAAAATAATGGTCTTTTTTTTATTTTGGATATATATTTTTATTTAATTACAAACCTCCAATTTTTGTGTTTACTTTATTATCCCCCAATAATAATGGTGCGAAGGAAATTTAGGCAAACTGTGTTAGGAGGAAACTTGGTTGTCTAGTCTATGAAGTCCTTGGCCTCTTTGCTATATAAGTGGTAGAATATATGAGGGCGTTAGTGTTTTAGTCTAATACAATCCTCCTGTGGGAGAAATTTGGTGAGAATATAGTACAATATTCTACGATGACCTTATTGTTTGATTTTAGATAAATTATCAAGTATAATACAAACTGCATTATCAATTAACTTTCAGTGACTGCGTAGGGGGAACAAAGTATTGGAAAAATACTTTCCTTGGCAGTCTATGGGCAATTTTTTCAGTCATATTTTAAAAGAAGGTATACTTTAACTGAAAACATAACAGTTAATAACCAACATAATTATACTAGTCTTATTCTAAGTTAATGAAATAATTATCAAGTACCACCAACAATTTTATTCAAAACCTTATTTGAATGAGCAGATGGAAAGACAAGGGTGAATGGTCACATGACAAATGTGGTCACATGATATCCTATCACACATGCATATGTAATGATTTATTTTTAAAATGCCTTTCTTCAACATAGTGGGAAATAATAGTTAATGTAATCAATACCATGTTGCTTTGAACTACAATACATCTGAGTTTAAATAAATCGAGAAGCCACCTGCTATTAAAATCAATGAACCATAATGATTAAGCATGAAAGCACAAGGAGGGAAAGTGAAAGTTAAGAAATTGAACTGAAAGGTGTGGCACAATTTTGATATAAATAGGAGTGGTCGATATAAATAAACCTGAAATGGAAATGAAAAGATATTTTTGTTTGCACTGGGACTGAGTCGGCTACTCCATATGCTACGGGAATGGACAGCATCTGGAATTGTGAAGGACAATGCATGCCATCTGGGATAATCCCTGTCTCATTAAAGGGTAAATGCTCACTGAAAGGAAGTCTTGGAATTAAAGTTAAAAAAAGGGAAGGAAGTACTTGGTGCACTTCCTCAACCTTGTGTTTTACTGAACTGTTATTCAATGCTGAAGTGGAGCACCAATTAGGAATGATCTGTGTCTAAAGTGCAGAAAACTGGAAGCTACGTCCAATCAGATTGCTTCGCTACTGTGCATCTACTTCAATCTCGTTTACCAGGGTGCAAGTGATCAGGGAGTATAATAAACACAATAATAAACCATAAATTTAATTGACTTAACAGGACTAGTTCAAGTTGTATTAATGGTATTATTATTGAAGTGTTGAAGAGGATGGTACATGTTATGGGTTAAAGGCTAAACTAATTTAGAACAAATTGCGAGTAGCTGGCCTAATCATTCGTTGAAGAATCCTCCATGCAAGCTTGAATAATTCTCAAACATAAAAATCATAAAATCATTTCCAGCACCCAAGATACAATGGTATCAGGCAAATACTTTCTGTGTTAATATTAAGTCATTTTTATTTTTTATTCTTTATTAAAACTTTATTTATAGAGGGTAACCCTTCCAATTGGACCAAGAATGCAAGCTGATGTTCATGGGCCCTCTGTTGAATATATAAAACACATCAGAAAAGATGTTAGAATCATAATTAGAAAAATACAAAAGGTACAAAAAGACAAAAAAAGCACAAATGCATAAATAGGAAACAAATATAGGAAAAAAATAAATAAATGAATAAAAATAATAATAATCCTAAACCCTAAAATATTGATCCAGACACATTGTCTGAAGATATGTTAAAAAAATTGATCAATTTCAATGAAGCAAGAATTATATTTACACACGGATTAATGACAATTTATACTGAATTACAAAAATGTTCTAAATTATGACAAACATAATAATAAATCAAATAATAGGCCTACTCTTCATCATATTATATAGGATGAGACAACTATGTACACTGTATATTCCTCCATGCATTAATTTCCATCTTTTTCTCACATTGGTCTCACTAATTCATTGGCATACAATATATAGAATTATGATTCATGTCTGCAACAATTTAGATTTGATTGTTTTTTGATAATAGATGAGTAATGCTACATGGTATTCTCCTATACAATACCATGGGATTGACTGGAGCTACTCTAGCTTATAATGCATAGTACGGCATGGGCGTATGCCAAAGAAAACGACCTGTAAAACTGCCTCTTCCATTGCCATAAGCATATCAGCAGACAATGGAATAATCAATGTCCGGTCTTTTCCTTTGCAAACTTTATGCATCCTAGCGTATTCGATGAGTAAAATTGATGGAATAATATGTGTCACGCGGGTACAAAGGTCGTACGTTCCTATTCTGTAGGTACATACTAGTGTCTAGACTTCTACAGCAGTCAGAATCATTGTTACGCCCAACTGGTTTCACATCAAAAGGGAACAATTATATCTATTGGGTATTCGTCGGTATTTACAAAGTGTGAGACTGGTTGGGTTTAGAAGCATGCTTAATATCTCTCATATCTATCAATATTTTTCCTTCCTCCAATTGTTGTACGATTCATTATGATATTTTTGTTACAAGTTGAATAATTTTGGTATAAACAACTGAAAATAGAGAAAAAAGATTTAAGACATTCATCAATGTCATATTTGGTTAAAAATACGCTGTTTGTGTAAAACAATTTTACAAGAGATTATGTTTCTTGATCCATTGAAAAATCAAGTTATCTGAAAAGATGTAATAATGGCAATCATCACACATTCTATGTGCTAGGCAATTACAACTTCCCACAGATTTTCTATATTTAGATATTTCAAACACAGGCTGACAAAGTCATTAAATTCAAAGAAGCACTAATTGGCCTATTTGCAGTTCCACAGCGGATCAGAAGGCAAATAATAATTAATAAAAAATAAATCTACAGTATTTATAGCATGTCAATAAATGTTACAGAATGTTAGCAAAAAAAAAAAACAAGGAAATATGGAGAAATATGTTGCTCTGGAGGCTCGATTTACTGATATGGAAACAGCATTGCCAACCACTTATGCGTACGTTCAACGCCTTTGTGAGGGGCATACTGGGATCTGCCAAATTCCACTTTGGAATAGGCCCTCAGCTCAACTGTGGCACTGGAAATCTGCCTACAGGGGGTCTGACAAATCTGACAAATGGGGTCTGAACCAAGACGCCAACTAGAGCCTCGGTCAGGGTCTTGGGGTGGGTGCAGATGGTGCGACCTCGTTGCAAACTCCCCCCACCACCCTCCTTCACCCACTGGCACCACACTGCCTCATCTCCATTACCCAGTGGCAAAAGGGGTCCTCCCAATCGGAAGGTATTTTACACTAAATAACGTTTCACTAGTACTACTTCTTATCACAAGACATTTGTATATAAGCTTCACCTAAACAATTATGTATACTAAGACTTATATGACACATTCAATTATCAATGTACTTTTAGAGAAGAAATCTATAAGAGTTGTTCGAAATCACACATAATAGAATCAATGTATGTGGAGCTGGTATTTTTAGTGTACGTAGAAAATGATTATTATCATGTTACAAAACTACTGGGAAATAATTAATAATTCTCTCTATAATCATAGCTTAATCACCCGTCCATCACCGGATCATTTTATTTAATTGTATTATGTTAGAAAATCTACAATGCATTAAAATGGTATATATTACATATTATTTTTAATGTACTTCTTTAGTGTAGAATTAAACAAATCAAATTAATCATTTTTTAAACTTTATTAACCTAATATTTTTTATATACTGCTGTTAGTGTATTAAAAAAAAAATGTTTTAGGGATACTACACAAACTTGAAGGCAAACAAACAAACAAGAAAGGCCAATGCTCCTTTCCAAACCTCTAGAGAGACATGTTACAAAGACAGGAACTTAATATTCAGGATGGCAAGAGGCTCCTTGCTAATCTTTTTTGGATACAAAGATAAAAAACATTCTTTAATCTGGGTTCAGGAAGATACCTCCTTACTAAGCTCCTCTGTAGCAATTGACCTACTGCACCAAAAATACGACTAAAACCTAGAAAACCTTTTGCCTGCAACTAGTACTAATGTAGACCGAAATTTGGTCATGAAATAAACGTTTCCAGTAGATGGGATAATTTGTCTGTAATTTTTGCTTGCTAGTGGGTGTGCTAAACCATGCTGAGTCCCACAACTTGCATGAGACTTGAGACCTCTATTTATGAGACACCAAATTGTAAAGAAAAAAAAATAACAGCATCGAACCGATTTTGTATTTTTTGTTACAAGTTCAGAGAACAAGATTTGAGCATGAAATGTACAATAAACTTATCTAGCAAGATATTATGATCAAACAAACCTGTGGTGTGATTTTGTTTGTTAACTCCTCTACTGTCTTCTTCAACCTTGCCAATGCTGACAAGTCATCTTGTTTTTGCTGGGATTTGGATTGCTGAGTTGCATTAAGACGAGGCTCACCAACACCAGTTTTGGCATCCTGTCCAACATCTGCTAAAGCCTTCTCTACGTTAGAACGCTGCTCTTTCAGTTGTTTTTGGAGTTCCTTGTTCTTTTTCTTGAGTTCATCAAGTTCATAGGCTGCTGAAGAGCCACCAGAGGTGTGATCACCGTCTGTTTCTTTCAATGCTTTGTATGGTGTATCACTACCTCCTTCTCTACTTTTCCAGGCATCAAGTGAACGTGACGATCCTTCATCACTGCTTGGGGCGACTTTTCTCTTCGATCTTCCTGTTACTCTTCCAGGATTTTTATCATACAACAGAGTATTCGCTTGTCCAATCTCTCTTAATCTTGAAGTAAGTTCTTCTTGCAGATCATCTTGTCTAGTATCCCTTTTCCCTTTGCCTTTTTTATTTGATGGTGGAGATCTAGACTGTAATTGGTGATATCTGGAGTCTCTAACTGGACTCCTCTCTCTTTGGAGGGTGTTATACTGAGATGGTAGGTGGTCTAATTCAGGTACATATCTATCAGGACCATAAGACCCTGGGAAACCAAACTCACTCTCCCTGTATGCTCTCGGTGGGCTGTAAGAACTTGCATAATATGGTGGTTGATTGTAGGGTGCTGAGGCATTCTGTCTTTGAGATTCATACACATGGTTTGGAGGATGTCTAGGATTTTGAGATGTGGAACTGATGGCAAACACTTCGTCAAGCATCTGATTCAGACGTTGACGTTCTGCAAACCATTTTCGCTGGACTAATTCTCTTTCAGGTACAAACTGCTCATCTTCAACATGCTATAAAAGACAAAAAACAGAATTTGAACAACAACAAAATATGAAATGCATTCATACATCAACAACAATGAACACCAACAACAAATAGAACAATATAAAATTTATACCACAAAAGTTTTGTAACTGCAGCTCCTAACAATAAAGGCTGTAATTTCCAGAGGGACCACTACTCAATGACTGGAATATCATGTGAAGTGCACTGAAGGAATGGTATTTTGCTTAATATTACTAATCAGACTGACATTACAAGATTCAAACCAAGGACATGAAAAGAATCATTGCCCTCACCTGGTAGTAGGCTCCTGGCATTGAAGGAACGGCAAACATAGCACTGGCATCTGACATCTGTAAAGGTGGCTCTTGGATCTTTTCTGAACTCCTATTTCTTTTTTGGTGCTTAGGTGTTTGATAATAATTAGGGAATTGACTGTTGGATCTTGGTATTGCTAAAGGCTTCCAAATAAAATAAAAGAAAATAATTAACAAATAATAGTAACATCCAAGCAAAAAGTGTATCTGAAATAATATAAATAAAATATATTAATTAATTAATATTATTAATAATAATAATAATTACATATATATAATAATATAATAACTACATTCAAAGCACATTGTTAGTACAAGATAACATATTATAGTTATGGATCCAGTGCTGCAACTGATAAATCGGATTCAATATTTTTGTACTGTATACCATATTTTATTGGGGGTGATTCTTCCGTTCTTGAAGGTAAGCTGATATTCAATGGCCCCCCTTACAATAATGAAGATAATGTGATGCTTTTAAACTTAAATCTCATCATGAGGCTTAGGGAATGAAGTTTTTTTTAGTATTTAGAAAAAAATCCTGTAGTGTCTGAGGATTTGATCTCAACTAATAAAAACATGTTGTATTTGTGCACTATATACAGGTAAGCCTTTAGTATTTAAAACAAGTGTTGATTGTGCTTTTTAGGCTTGTGTTGTGCATGGTACAGTCCAACATATTATCTTGGTGATATAACTATACCCCATAGAGCAGTCAATACTTTATATACTATTCCTTCTAAAGGCATTATACATACACAGGTTACATGTATAGTCACACAAATAGACCATTATCAATTCACAAAAGCAATATAGTATATCAGTGGTGGCGCCAGAGCAGGGGCTGAGGGGGCTAGCTCCTTCATCGAGAAAGCCTAGCACCCCCCCCCCCCCAAATATGAAATGGAAAACAGATTTGAAAATAAATTAGTTGGTTATATTGCATACTCTTTGTTTCTTGTTTTTATATTAAAAATGTTTTGGTTTTGGAAGTTGTTTTCGACAATATTAATAATAATAAAACATAAATTTGTTATACGTAAAAAGACAACATAGATATGAAAGTGGGAACAGAGTTGACTACATGGATTGAAATAGATGAGCTTTTAAATTAAGTGAATTCAAGGAGGGCGAGTTTTTGAAAGACAATGTTAAGTCGTTCCACAGAAATGAGGCAGATTGAAAAAGCAAAGGTTTGTGGGCCTTATGTTTTCAATTTGAAGGTGGTGGGGGGGGGGGACAGTGAGACAATTTTTTTCCTGAGAGCAGGGAGTTGTTACAGTGCTGAGAGGTGATGGTGGTTGGAGACATGTATTTAAAATTTCAGAGATAAGAGGGTTGTTGGAATTGAAGAGCCTTAAAACACAATAAAGTATTAAAAATAATGCATTGCCGAATAGGTAGCCAGTGTAGGCTTTTTCAAATTGGGAGTGATGAGGTGGCATCACCATCATTACAAAACATACATGAAGTCATACGGTAGCTTGATGCCCATCAAATTACTAAAAAAATTCATCAAAAATCATCAAATATCTGTGGCTACCAGCGAAGTCCAACCAAGTGAATCCCCCGTCGGGCAGATCCTGGCACCATCACTGTGCTCTACATTAATATACACAATTTCTAATACAAAAATATTGTTAAAATTCAATTTTTTTCTACTGATTATTGACTCCGTTGTACTTGGGGTTTACTAAAGCAAGTGCCGTGGGCAGGGCCAGTTGCGTGTGAACACTTTCAAATAACAAAGCAAACACCACATTTATTATTTCTTGTACGTAAAAATTCCTACCTTTGTTCTATCTAATTTTATTCATAATGCTGTAAAAAATGATGAAGTAACAGAAAACAAAACTGTTAATAGAAGAGATTAAAATATAATCTCCATAAAGTTTGTTACTACTGTATTAACAATCTCAAATGTTAAGTGAACCAAATTCCATATGCCAAGTTAAAAATAATTATAATACTTTACTTGATCTCATTCAAACATGAAATTGGAAAGTTGGGCTGGGCCCCTGGAGACCGCTTTAGCTGCATTGCGGCGCCAACCGACTTAACTACAACAATTAAAATAATTAACACTGAGACAAAAGGCCAACAGCTCTCTGAATAAAATTCCAACTCATTCCCTACCAGATACAGTATAACTATTTGATATGTATTGGATAATTTTCATCATGTTATTCTTGACTCCATGTTGTTTACACCCTGCATGCGCCTAAATGCCGTGAACTGGGGTTTTTGTCACATTCTTTCATTTTTAATAAAGAATGGTTTAACTACACAGACATTTTCATCTTTTCATCATTTTACGACAAAATTGGTATAACTGATGATGTCTATAGTCAAAATTCATTTAGAACAAAGTTCAGATATTTTTTTTAGTGTGATCATTCAATTCCTATAGCTGTATCTGTCACAACAATTACTATGAAAGAAATATATACAATCGAAAACTGTTTCCTGAATACAATCCATCTTACTTCCACCACTTCCTCTAATCTCATATCTGTCATCATTTACACAAAGCAGGCCTTCTAGGCCTAGTACTTACTGGGGAAGCAATTGCACTACTGGAGTACATCTCGTTGTCATAATTATGCGATGCAACTTGCTTCTTTTTCTTCTTCTTTTTCTATAAAATACAAAACAACATACTTTGGTAAAAGTGCCACATCCAGGAATTAAATAATAGAGTGAGCCTAGGGAAGAATTTTTTTTTTACAGATGAAGGATCCAGAATATGTCAGCCCCACCATGGGGTTTCAATGAGACTATAATTGTTGTAAAGGGATAGGCTGTACTTCTCAATGTGTTACTCCCATGAAGTAGTTTGCTCATAGTATGAAATGGTCTGTGTTGCCTTGTAAGATATTGCATTAATTTATTACTCACTTCATAAGAGATGATTAAAAGTGTCATTCTAACATTTAAAAAAATTTATTACCGCAAATTTTCTTTGTATAGTAAATGCCCCTCATAAAATAAGTTGCACAATTTCTTGTGGTATTAAAATTAGATGTTTTCAAAGCTACATGCAAACCAGAGTAACTTAGAAGCATGTGGCACTGCGTGTAGGACATTAGGCTTTCAATCAGTAGGTCAGGGTTCAAGACCGACGCTCGTCACACTGCTTGTATCCATGAGCAAAACACTGTATCTGCATTTGCCTCTCTTCACCCGTATAAATTGCGGAATTTTAATTTGGAGTCACCATACTGCCAGAATTCTTAAGTTACGGAAAAAGGCTGTTTGAATTATTACCAATAGTAATTCAATGCACACACTGAACCTTATTTAAAAATCTTTACCTATTTAAAATCAATGATATTTAAAAGCTTAAAAAATCAAAAAATAATCAGTTATCATTTCATTTTAAAAGTACAAAACCTGTGCTTTTTACTGAACTACATAGCTTATACACTTAAGGTAGAGAAAATATTTAAATACCTAAAGTTAATCATGTTTTTGCAACACTGCCTATTAGATATAATGTCTCAAGACTATTTGAAACTACAACAAATTGTATTATTTCTAAAATTACAACTCATAGTCTCTGGTTTTGCTAATTATATTTTGCATATTATTCATTGAGAATACAATGAATATTGTTGTATTGTTAACTGTTATGTTTGTAATAATAATTAATAATGGTAATGATTAATTAGAGTGCATATTTTATTTATTCATTTATTTATTTTTTATTTTTGCGATGGTTTTCTGTTATACTGGACATGCATGTATTAATCTAAAATAAGACATATAAAATTGTACTATGAGTAATCAATACATTTAGTTATCTCTGTGGTGGCTCCCGTGGTAGTGGCTTATTTTAGCTTAATGAGTCTCTCGAACAAATTTAATTTATATATGTCAATATGAATATTTGTTTGTTATAATTTTGGTCAAATAAAACAATTTGATTTCTGAGTTCTAAGTATAAATGGCAGAAGGTGAATGATCCGGAATGAAATTAGTAGTGCTGATTCCACGCACAACAAGGAATAATGACCAGGGAAAAAGCGCCTTGTAAAGTTTTTTGGGTATATGCACTATATGAATCCTATTAAATTTTATAAAAAAACCTTTTCTGATACCTTTGCAATTTGTGGAGATGAAGATGCTTCATCATCTTCTATAGTCCATCGTTGTTTTCTAGCATTACTTTCAATCCTGCAACATAAATACAGATGAGTCAGTTGAGAAATTGTTTAACAAAATTTTATAAAGTGTAAATTGCACGTTTGCTCATTACTGAAATTATTATGTATTATTATTGTGGTGCCAGTGGGAAATTTCCTCTCAACCCCCAACCCCCCTGGGATTTGAAAAAAACATGCTGCTTCACCTTTAAGATTCACAGTTTAAAAAAAGCATAATTATAAACACAAAAGCTAACCTAAAGATTGTTGTAGAATGTGCCATATTTACATTAATATCAAGCTGGTTTAAAATCTAGAGATTACACCCTCTATTGATAGAAAAACAACAGTAGTACATTTTGTCCTAAGCACTCTTACCGTGCAGTGGGATTAGCTGCCGCAGCTTTCTGATCCTCAAACAGGCTATCAATCTAGAGAAAATAAAAAATGGATAATCAACAATCTTTCATCTAAAGCAAGGCAGACATTTCATTTCTGCAATTTATTACAAGCCATTGGATTCACATGTTTGACACTTAATAGTACATATACACAAAATCAACACTTGAAAAAAAAATTAAACATTACTTCAAAATAATATTGTCATTATTCTGAAAATAAAATGATGAATGAATTATTATTATTCTTAAAATAATTCAACAGTCTCATTGAACATCTTAAAATATTACTTAAAATAATAATAATTAATAAATACAATAATAAGCTTGGTTCACATTTGCATCAGTGCAAATTTCCCCCTTGTGAACATGAGATGTGTGTTGGTCTTTAGCACACATTATTTCTCAATTCTCAAAGCGGTTGAGATCACCTAATTTCAAGTACTTCACAATGGAAATCGACTGAGGTGATCATGGCATAGGCGTACCATAGCATTATGTTTGCGTAATGCGTTTTATTCTAAAGTACATAATTCCCACACAAATACCCTGACATACACACACATACTGCACACACAGATACCCACACCTACAGGTCCAATAAAGACTGAAGCTGATAAAAAACCTAAATCCATCATGAAGCAGAGACACAGCAAAAAGCAGATAAGCTGTAACAATTTTAAATTATCCAATTAAAAAAAAATGCATTGAAAAGAAGTGTTGTCAAACAGAAAACTGAGAAAAATGTGTTAAAAAGAGGTGAAACAAATGTTAAATGGATAAAATCTAAAATCCTGAAAACCACAGGTGTTGTGGATTTTGGAGTGAAAACAATAAAAATGATATATAGCTGTAAAAATGCAAGATCGTCTGAAGACTGAATTGAACTCAAACGAGTGGCTGCCATATATCTACTAACACATTTTATTTCATCTAGAGTCAGTTTATATAAGTTACATACAGTAATTTCAGAAGGCAAGGCATTGTTAAATTGTATGTTATTTGCCATTGTTGTTCTGGGCACAGAAGGATAACAATGTTATGTACTGAATAGATAATTAAATAAATGCATACGTTGACGTAATAGAGACAAAATTTATTCAACACGAATATTTCTCAGCGACTCTCTTTGTGCTGTCTCTTATACACATCTAGATGTGTATAAGAGACCGGTATATAATATACATGCATATATATATAACAAACATTTGTGATACAACTTCTGATTTGTAAAAGAATATTTGTTAGTGGCTTTTTTGAAATAAAGAGAAAGTTAGCTATAAAGAAAATAAGACCAAAATGAAATGACATCAATCTTGAAAAAACTTCCAGACACTAGAGGGCAGTATATGGAAAATAATATATCTTGAAGAATTGACAATAACCATGGCGAGTGACTAATTGTATCCAGTAAACAAAAACCATAGAGGGCTTTCACTTATATGATTTGCTCTGTAACTCATATGCTCAAAATAAGTACTGTATAATGAAAAATGATTAACAAACAACACCCTTTTACCAAATACTAAAAAAAAAAATCTGTAAATCTTATCACTTAACTTTGGGAAATTGCTAAAAAACTGTGCGACAGATTCATACATAGAGGTTGGTTTTTCCTGGAAACAGAACACAAGACACCAATAAAGAGTTTGTATATTACTAGAGTTGAAATACCTAGTTAGCAGATGCTGTAGGCATATTTTGTATTAGAAAGTAATGCAAATAAACCATGCTACATAAAATAGTGTTCCTTTGTTAACATGGGGTGTGGTGTATTTTTTTAATCAAGTGCTTTTTTCATTTTTGAGAAAAAAATCCTAATTATGCAAGATTGACCCAAGAGCTTGAGATTTCAAATACATGTATATTAAGCTGCCACATTAGAGAATCACTGTAAAGCATTAGTGAAACTGCATTTTGACAAGTAAATCAAGTTAATATATGACACTAGAAATAGAGGAATAAATGAAAAGAAATACAATCTCCATTCTAATGAAATGCATATTCCCAGCACAGAAATCCATCCTGTAGCAATACTAGAAACAGTGTAAAAAAGAGGAATTCGTAGCCCTGAATCGAATCTGCCACGTTCTATATTGGAATATGCCCATGCTTTAATTATGTAACTAAAACAAAATCTGATCATTTATATTTACAGCACTTTATAGTAGAGTCTATATGAAAAATCTGTCAATTTTAGATTAGGCTTCGTTAAGCTTGATTACTCTTCTTCGTTATTGCTTTTTCTTGTAAATGTCTCCAATTTTATGTTACAGCACAGTAATTTTTTTTTTCTTTTCGAAAACCAGATTTATAGAGGGTGACCCTGCCAGTGTATCCAAGAAGGTCAGCTGATATTCAGAGGCCCTCTTAAATAAATTAAATAATGTGATGCTTTTATCAGGCAAGTCTCTTTATGAAGATAATTAAATGGTTGTTTTTAGTCCTGCTGTGAGAGGAATTGAACCCAGGACCCTGGTATTAGAAGGCAAGCACCTTAACCATTAAGCTATTCAACTCCACTTCAGTGGATAATAAAGATTACGATTATATAGTGAAAGGTGTTAGTTTTTGGCTCTGTGGATGAGACTACGAGGCATCAGTCACAATTTGGGTGTGTCGCAGTCAGTAGGTCTGTAACCCAATATAAAACCAAAACCTGCTAGCAGAAGAACCATTGAAGCATGCAAAACATAACCTATAGCCTTGTTTACATGTCAGGAGATCACCATGATTATCGGGTTGATAAAGGTGTTAAGTGGTCGTGTAAATGGATTTAGTAACTCCGCATAACAGAACAGTAACCGCGATGATCTACGCCGTTACCGCTGCATCACAGCAGTGTTAACGGCGTGATCTTTATGCAAATTAGCTGTTGTTTGGCCTGCGTGAGTCATCGCAGGAAGTCTATGTTGATAAACAGCATGAATATAATTATAATTTAAAAAATTATGTTTTTATCATTTACATATATTTTAAAACTTTTTTGACAAAGGGTTTCAAAACAAGCAGCAATACGCGCATTTTTTAGGTCATTTTTAATCATGTGACCGATAATTTTTTTATCATGTAGATGCGCAACTGGAGATCATCGGTGTTACCTATCTGATAGCAAACAGCCATGCAAACCAGGCTTATGTTGTGAAAGAGCAAATTTTAAATTAACTACACATAAAATAGAAACCCAATGAAAGCTTTATATAATGCACCATTCTTTAAACTATGTATCACAGCTGTTCATTAATTAGTTTGCTTATTTGTATTGAACTTTGACATCTCCAATATGTCATCTGTGCATATAAAACTACAAGGTGATTTATTGAATACGAAAGCAAAAAATGATCAATCGTTATGAGCATTGGAATTATTAAATAATCTTTTTCACATGACAGATAAAAAATAATATACCTCATACTCAGCTGAATCATCAGTAGCACTAGCATCCAGCTAAAAACAATGGCAAATGAAAGGATAGAAAAAAAAATAAAGAAAATAGAATAGGGAAAACGTATAAAGGAAAATCTTTAATAGAAATCAGTAGTACAGTATAGGCCTATTGTTCTATAACTTATATTTATTTTTTATGGCGATTGCTGATGTAAAAAAAACTGAATATCATTTTGTGAACAATATAGAAATATATACTGTACATGCAAGTAATGTTGTTTTAGATGTGGATTGTTTGTGTAGCACTAAATAATGCCCATAAAATTCAATTTATTTTATATTACCATAAATGATTTGGCTCTCAATGTAAATAGTAAATCAAGAAAATATTTTCTTTCCAGTTAACAGATGTGTAAAATAGTTTGAGGCTTGCCATCCCAAAACCAGCATACTGTTGCTAAATGTTAAACTGAGTTAATTAGCATAAGAATGTGGCATGTATCATACACTTTAGTACAGAGATGTCGCAATACTGTTACTCATAAATTTAGCAATAGTATGTCAATTCCACTAAATGACCCATCATTTTAGCTTATAATGTGGGGAATATGAATATATTAAACAGCCAATTTCCATGTTTTGATCACAGATGGCGGTTTTGTCATGGCAAATCCCCATTCTACAGTATTATTGTTTGCAATGGCCCTTAAATCGACTGGTAGTCAATTAAGGATTTTTGCATATTAAAAGTATGTTAATCAGTGCTTATTTAGCAGAGTACTTATCAAGGATACACGCAAACTGGTTAATTGCGAGGCAGCTTTCTTTGTCTCATCTGAATTTGGTAACTTTTTAATTCAAATGACCAATTAATGTTTTAATGTCTTTTTTCCAAATTTACCCTTACATGCCCTACCTAGCCTTAAGTATCAAACTGTCAATATACAAGCAAATTATTGAAAAATTGAATAGCAAAATGAGATTATGGCTCACTTTTAAATAAATTTTTTTTTTTTGAATATTTTCTATAAATTCTATTACCTCTCTTTGTGCCCTTTCTCGGTCTTCCCTTTGTCGGTCCATCTCCGCCATCAGGTTCCTAGCATTCTTTTTTTCTTTTCTCTTAGCTTTCTGTGCCTGTCTTTTCTTCCACTTACTTATTTCAAATTCTAGGTCTTCTATTGTTAGATACAAGCGAGTTTTGTACCAAGACTAAAGTAAAAATAAAAAATCTAAGCTTTAAACAAGTACATATACATTAGTGACAATAAAGGATTGTTCATTACATTACATTACACACGTGTTTGTTTATTACAAATGTAGACTAGTATGAACAACTCTATCAAAATAGGCCTTAGCCTAGGGCCTAGTAAATTCATCAAATGAAGGTTTTCCATCTTCTCGGTCTAGGCCTGGTAACAGTCAGTAGTCTGCATGGTCAACGACATCAAGCTTTACATAAATTCGCTACCAAACACAGCTAACAGCTGATGGTGAGATCGTGTAGCAATTTTATGGATACTAGGCTTATGACTGATCTACAGGTCATTTCCTGTGAAGAAATAACGTCTGCCAGGAGAAAAATGCAGACATTTTTCTAATATTTACTATACTAACCTTAGGTACCCCAGCCTGAGACATGAGCTGTCTCTTTGTTTGAGTCTCTGTATCACTAATATAATCACCAACAAGTGGCTTAGGTGTGAGTGGAGGCAGGTTCATACCATGCTGCACTCCTACAGAGTTCTTGAAACGAGACTTGTTTTGAGAATACGCAGGTGGAGTTGGTAGGGCACGTGGTTCTCTAACATGGCTGAACAAAGGTTGATCCTGCAGTAACACAAAAAAAGATTACACATTGTCAGAAAAACAACTGCTGTACTATGGTCTCTCGTGGATAGCTTTCCAATCCCAGTGGCCTGGGTGCAACTGACCAATTCCGACAGGTTTGTTTACAGCCGGTCATGTGATATATAGTGGAGAACTTGCAGTGTGATCAATGTGAAAATATAGGAAGAGGTAAATGTTATGGTTGCGAAAACAACCGCTGACTTAGCTCAAGAAATGACTGGCAAGGAAAATAGTGTTTATTTACTTATTCTAGCGTTTTCTTTGCTTCGCATGCTTTTGAATTTATGTGATCCTTCATAATATAGCCTAAAAATCGTAGCGCATCCAAATCGTAGTTCGCGGATCGAAGACTCTTGTGCATACCTAAACAGGCAGTAGATATGCAGGCCCTAGGCCTAGCATTTCACGAAAAATCTCGGTGTTTGGGGCCAGTATTTTTCGGAGCATTAGCAAACCATAATTTCAAAATTCTCAAGTTCAATTTCCAATCAACTTGGTATAGTTTACTGGCATTCCAACCAACATTATTCAACATCAAATATGTGTTTTACAGCAGAAACACACCAAAGAATCCACACGTTTTCCTATTACCGAATGTCACTTGCACTGCCAGTTTACAATTTATACCCACTATATGTCACATGACCAGCCTAGCAGAATCGGTGTATTCCTGTTACATCATCAAAAATATTTATTATAGAAGACCTATCAATATTATTGTCTTTTTGACATTTGTTATTCTTATAAGTATGCCTTGTTTACAAGTTTTGCTTTTTTGGTTATGTCACTAGTGACACTATCAAACATGTACTTCTATTTTTTGCTACTACCATATTAGGATATTTTGCGTTCACATTGCTGCACTTAATCGTAAATGTTTCCCACAAGCTATGGATTTTATAATAATAATAATAATGATAATGAAAACTTTTAAAGCGCCGGTATCCGTTTAAAGAAAACGCTCATGGTGCCCCTCCACAAGAACTCAAAAATATGACCAACAAAAGAAACAATAAAGTTTAAGGACCAGAATCAATTAAATTACATGAAAAAGTACATAATATTAATACAAAGAAAATAATATTAATACAAAGAAAATAAAAAAAAACCTACAATGTAGGCAAGATAAAAAAAATACATAGATAAGATCGTTGGTCGAGTTCCTAGGTCACATATCAAACGCCCTGAGCATCTTATGTTAGATGGATATGGCGCTATATAAAACTACATTATTATTATTATTATTATTATTATTATTATTAAGAAATATTACTCATTTTCATCAGCATAGTCGTTAAATTTATACCAAACAAATTTAATCAAATATGCGAAGATTGCCCTTTTAAAAGCCTCTTAAAGTTATAATTGCTGCACAAATTAACAGCTGCTGCTATAGGTGGCTTTTAAGCAGTTATAAACTATAAAACAAAAAAAAAGAAATAAACCATTTCTGTATGAGATATTTCACCGCTGACACTTTCATTAGATGATGATGGATGTACTTTTCCATTTCGTTTCCAGGATGACATACTTTTAACAGGAATATCATTCAAGGCAGTCTCTCTGAAATTGGAAAGAAGAAATTGAACAAATATCATATTAATTTTGGAAAATTTTTAGTTTAGCTTTTTCATCATTGTACAATATTGGGAAATTTTGTGATGAAATTGAAGGTTGGAACCAGAAAGAGAGGGAGGCCGAAACAGAGGTGGAGCTACTGTTTTCAAGCAGGACATAAAAGCAGCTGGGCTGTAAGACAGGAATATGTGGAGAACGGCAATCAGCATGGTGACCCTACTTTAGAGTGGGAATAAAGCCAGAAGATATAATATATATAATCATAATCATATAATAATATACAGTAATACAGTCTTTGCGTCATATTGTGACAAATATAAGACTCTTAGAAGAGCTTCCAATAAGACTGTGGATGTGGACGAAGGAGGTTGGAGATGGGAGGGGTGAAGAAGATAAAGTATAAAATATACTAATAAAAACTCAGTGTTTCTTAAGAATTTGACCAAAAAGGTATAACACCATACCTCTGTGATTGAATATAAATATTTTCATTTATGGCATTTGAGTTTGAATAGATCAATATGGATTGGTTTAGAATTCATCTTGGCATGTTTATCTACGTGCAAGATAACAGGTGGGAAACTTCATGAATCAATATTCACATTTAACACCCATTCTTTTTTGAATATCAACAAACAATTACTGTTATAGAAAGGCAGCAGCCTATGACATGGTTTTCCCAGCGTCATTTCACAAAGGTAGTATATGTAGCAAAGACAAGTCAAACCAGTCACTCGTCTTAAATCGTATTTCAGAGATAATGGCCACTAAACTAACTTTTATATATCTATACATCATGCTCTGTTATTATATTCTCTATTTTAAATATTACAGAAATATTTTTTAATGATTGGTGATGCTTTCTGCCTGAGAAATGCCTGAAATCATAAACTTTGAAGGCTGGTTTCTCAAAATATTGTTCTTTAAAATTCTAACAATTCAAACATTTGTAACTTCAGAGATGTCGGATTTGAATGGTGTTACTATTTTATAGCTCTTATTTGACTGTTTAACTCTGTATTTTGCGACGAGTGACTGGTTTGGCTTGTCTTTGCCACACATTATTTATCTGTCTGTCCATTTATTAAATCTATTTCAGTATATTATTTAAAATGCTACACCAAATATCCAATTGGTTTTATTAAAGGAATCTGGTAATTATTAGGTAATTACGAATAGGCCTATGTAGAGTATTATTTGAAACTAACCTTATTTCAACTGAACGTTTGTGTTTTCCATTTCGATACCTTGGTGTAATTATTCTAGGTTCGTTAAAGCTTGTCTCATTAGTGATTATTCTACCCCGGTCAACATTGATCTTAAAACTACCTAATTCCAGAGCAGATACAGCACGATCCACAGTATCCTATTGAAAGGGAAATATCAAGATGAAATAATTGTGGCTTCAGTGTTAACTTCAGAAATAAAAGGATCACGATCAGAATAAAAATATAAAATATCATCAATCATTTCATTTAATTTTATTTAGTTATTCCGGTAATTTTCACTTAAAAATCATCACTTTCATGGGAAATCCACAAACATGTGCCGACAACTAAACATACAATTACTGTTACATAATAATTATAATATTAATAATAATAATAATATATATCTAAAACACAAACTATTAAAATTAGTTAAGGCTGTAAATGTGATCCTTAAGTTTAGTTGAGAATTGCTTTCATTTTGAATCAATTTCAAAGTAATCTGGAATTTCAGTCATACACATGAGAAGCAGTGTTGTACACTGTATTTTAGTAAGGTCACCTAAATATAATAATTTATCGTATTGCAACTTTTTAAAGCTGATATTGAACTATATATGTATTGTCGTATATTTTATAAACAGCAAGTTTTTAGTTCTCTATAGTGGATTATATTATCTTGTCATTGAGCTTCAAATCAAACTAACCTTAAAATTGGCTCCTCATAGTAAATTCATGGGTATTTTTTTGTCGTCACATATTATCAAACAAGTGAATTTTAAATATTAAACAAAGTTTTTGTTAATGTATTAATGTCATATCTAAATTTACTTCTTGTCAACATGAACAGTGTAAGTTATCTAAGCTCTTGGGAGACCATCGTATTGAAATGATTATTTACAAAAATAAAATAAATAATTAAACAATACATGAAATATAAATTCTATCTTTTGTTCGCATTTTCAATAGGTCATATGCAAGATAATATTCATAAATTCTGTAACTGTCACAGTTGAATATATTTAAATGGGTTACGGTATGTGAAAGTTGCTGTATATTAACAAACAAAAATCCAGCATCAAGAATTATATTTTCTTATGAAATTTCATTTACATCAATTGAATTGTACAGTAAACAACATCTTGTACTTAAAGTGAAAACCAATAAATAACAACTTGGCCTCATACCTCAGTTAACTAACTGAAACTTGTTGTGTACCCAATGAGAATGCTCATAGTTTACCAGCAGAATTGCTGGTTAAAAGTTAAAAAAATATACTTAATATACTATATCAACAAAAACATATTAAACGATATATGCAATCATTATTAATTGTTTATTTCCAAATCTCACAAACTGCATTTTCATTTTATAAATATTCCATTTACCATATGTTTAGCAAATCGATTGAGTAAAATATGATGCTTCTATTTAATAAAAAAAAAAAAAACAAGTATAGTATTGAAGTAGATAGGATTAAGGATGTAAGTCTTAAACAAGGACAAGTTAATCTACATGTTTGACATGTCAAAGGTCAATACTGTATAATACTTACATACTAGCAACTAAGATATATCTTTTCTTTTTGTGAATCAAACATTTCATAATGAATTATTATTTCTAGATTTTGATATAAGAGAGAAATAGAATTAAAACACCTTTACTTTTTTATATGAATTAAACTTGGAAAGGAGCCATATGTTGTGCATACAGCCTAAATGATTAATAATAACAGCAATAATAATGAATTTATTACTAATAAGTATAAACAACATCATTTTTAATCCATCATTGTTGTTTTTGAGTTAACAGGTCCGTCTTATACTTTTACAAGGTATGTTAAAGCCACCTTTCTGACTTGAAATTTGTGTTATTAGGAATAATTATGTTTTTATGTTTTAATTTATGAACTGTTGATTAATGCTGTACATGTACTTTAATTGTTATAAATTACACAAAATTTATAAATAAGAACATTACCAGAACAATAAAGATTAGAAAATGTATCTACAGGTGCTTTTTAACAACTGTCAACAAGACAGTTATCGCAATGAAAATATTAATTATAATAAAAATTATATGAACAATCAGCAACTAATATTCTTCTTACCAATGATGTTATTTCCATTTTTCCTCTTCTCTTATTACAGAAGAAATATATCGTCATGGCAATAAGCAGGAACAGCAACAGGGGTAAGATTATTCCGAGAGCTATCCAGAATGGCAGGAAATTTGGTGGCTCTATCAACAGTGCGATGCTCAGTACCTAGTAAACACATCAAAATAAATATAGCATGAAGTACAGCTGAGTTATAATATAGTAGAACCCCCCCCCCCCATTCAGACATCCCTATTAAAAATATTACAGCTGTCTCTTATACACATCTAGATGTGTATAAGAGACAGATATATGGCTAATCCTATTTAACACTACCAATTAAGGGGAAATTTTGTTTGGCCATAAAGGTGTCCCCTTAATAGTAATTGCAAAAGTATGCCATGTTACATATTTTGATTATGTTTATAAAATACACTTTCACTTTTATACCGCTAGATTTAAAAAAAAAATTATTCATTTTAAATAATCCATTGTGTGTAAAAATACAAAATCACAGGTTGCTTTTATTGGAATAGACTTTAAGCAGCTGTGTAAAGTACTAGTCTCAAGTATTCATATATTGCAAGAGCACAGACTTCTAGCATGTCAGGAAATAATTAGTAATGCAGTCATAAAGCATATTATTTCAGCTGGTCATAAAAAGAAAAATCTTAGTAATATTTAGGCACTATTTAATGAATTAATCATTCCAATCAATACCAAACAAAGAAGATAGTGTGCACATGTGTAAAGTGTAGTGAGCATAGAGGGTGTTGATATTTATTCTAAAATGGACAAATAAACTGTTAATTTCAAGTATAAGTATGTACATTAGGAAACTATTTAGAATTTGTTTTTTAATTAATTTTAGAATAGAAATTTATAAATACCACCATTTTGTCAACACAATCATAATCATCCTCATCAATACAATCACCATAATTTTTATTACCATTTTAAAAAATTATAATAATACAGTAGATCATAAATAAACTTAAAATATTACCTCATATTTTAATTGTGCACTCATTTCTGCTGTAGTGAGACTTTCATATAATTCCAAAGCTGTTTTTCCTTCAACAACACCATTGTTAGCATACACAAAAAACTGGACATACACCTCTTCCGGAGTATCAGTTGTTCTTCGTGAATCTGTGACCTATATAAAAAAAATACAAATCACATATTAATAAAAAGAGTCTTGAATGTATTATGATGATGTTGATAACAGTGATGTCTTTATACTTATTTAAATTTACATTTTAATGTTTTGCATTTAACTGTATTTGTACAGTACGAGCATCAAGGACCTAAGTAAAACATTAAATATATTCCTAGTGTATTTTCTTCATCTCTCTCTCTCTGGGCCGATACAGCTTATTCAAGCTATGAGCCTTACAACGGTGCGTCGCCAGTTTGCCCTATATTTTCTTCATATGTGGCAAAGACAAACCAAACCAGTCACTTGTCGCAAATTGTGTTGCAGAGATAATAGCAAAAACATGCTAGAATATAAAATTTTTAAAAATCTATTTTATTTCACTAAACTAAGGTTTATGTATCTATACATCATGCTGTGCTGTTATTTTTCTCAATTTCAATGTTAAAACAACACTTTTTAATGATTTTATGATAGTTTCTGCATGAGAAATGTCTGAAATCATAAACTTTGAAGGCTGATTTCTCATATATTATTCTATAAACAGCTGTATGCTTAAATGCTTGTAACTTCATAAGGAAATGTCGGATTTTAATGATTTTTTTACCATTTTATAGCTCTTATTTTACTCTTTAACGCTGTATTAATAACTCAAAATCAATTTTTGCGACGAGTGACTGGTTTTGGCTTGTCTTTGCCACATATATTAATTCAACTAATTACAAACTAAGAGCCCAAGGCTGTAAATGAATATATTAAAATCATTAAAAAATATCGAAGCAAGAAAAGATGTATTAATACCTGGAAAACTAACCCACCTCAATGCAAATTCATTATATTTACATGGCATTGTTTTTACTACTGTATTATAAATTGTCTCTCAGACGTCAGCTAGTGATGGGTATCACCATGTCAAGCAAAATAAATAAATAAATAAATAAATAAATTTAAAGATGCATTGTCCCTAGCTAATGTCAAAAAATCATAAAAAATAATTTTGAAATAAACTTGCTCATATTGCAATAACATCCAAATTATTAACTTGTGCATAAAAATTATTGAATTAAAAAAATGTGTACCCTGATTTTTAAACCAAAAAATTATAATAAAAATAATAAAACACTTCCAGTAACTGGAAGTGTTTCTATAATTTTTCGCTGTAAACTGATGGGTATATATTTTTAAAATACACTAATGTCTATGTTCAAGTTGATAACTTTTATGTTACTTCAAAATGGGCAAGTTAATTTCAACAAATATTTTTATGATTTTTTTGGTATTTAGCCTAGGACAATACATCTTTAAAACAACTTGGAACCACTGAAGATGAACAAAATAAAGCACAAGTCAACGTACATAAACTTCATACAATTCACTTGGATCCTCTACGTTTCTTCTTGAACGGCTATGAATTTTGTCTCCCATTAGAAATTTAGTCAACGAAGATCTGTCAAATATATAATCAACACTGCTAATATCTGGTAGACCAACTGCGCGTCTTCTCCTCTTTTGTCCTTCCTCAGCTTTTATGTACAATATTTCTAGATTATTTTCCAGATCATCAATACTAGGTTCCTCATTTACTTTGACATTCATCAGCATCACCAGTTGATCATTGTGAGAAGCATGAGGTTCTTTTGTTGGAATTCGGGTTGTTATTACAGGGGTCGTTGTTACACGGGGAACCGCATAGGTTGGAATTGCAACGACCTTTAAAATAAAAATAAAGCATAATACAGTCCTTGGCATAATTTCTTTTCCCGTTTTTGTATTAGTTGATTAATTTTTATGTTTATGTTGTCAACAACTTTTGTTGCTGCTTAATTGTAAACACTGAATACCAAAAAATGAATTAAATAAATATAATATATAATAAATATAACTTATTCCATGATTTAATACAAAGTAAAGAAATTGTTCTCCATGATGAGGTAGGCCAAATTAAGTTACAAACATAGAAAATATATTGAGTACTTTACCGTATATGGTATTATACTTTCGTAATCACTCTGGTTTAGTTGATTAAATGCATTCAGTGCAGTTTCTGCTGACACTGCCGAGTTATCAACAACATAATAAATCACATTAGCACGAGTGCTACCATCTCTAGTGACACTGCTTAACTATATAAGAAAAAAACTGTTATAGTATTATTGTTCATTGGACATAGTAACACATTTCTAAATAGAGAGAGAGGAAACTGGGGTTGATATAATGCGAGCAGAAAGGGATATTGGAAGTAATGGCAGAATAACTAAAGCAGAAATATTAAAAAGAATGAACACAATTTATTGAAAATAATTAAAGAAACAATATACAAATTGATCATATATGGAGTAGAAATGGGTTATTATAGGAAGTAAATGAAGGAAGAATGGAAAAACAGTAGGCATATGAAGGGAGATCTTATTCAGATTAATGATTGATCAGCCCTTTTATTTTATAAACTATATATTTGGGACATATGCTTTTGCCCATAGTTGGCTTTTTCATGGTATTTCACTTTATATTCATACTCACAACAACTTCAATGTTGGCATCTGGGTCTTGGGTTTCTCTTCTTTTTCTTCTGAGTTTGTAAGGCACCATCTTATCTCTCTTCTCTATGTTTTGGTTTATATTTATACCATAGAAAAGAAAATCATCTTTCACTACACTTTGCATATAATCTGCTCTACCCAAGGCTCTCCTCTTCCTTCTTGATGCAACATTTTGTTTTCCCTTAATGTAAAGTTCTTCAAGATCATAGCTAAGCTCCTGTTGAAATGTTGATGACTGCACATCAGTGTTCTCATCAACATTTAATACTATTATAAGCTGTTCTTCCATTGGTACTGCTGGTAATTGTGATGTTGTGTCTGGTGGTTCTGTAGTTGGCATTGATGGAGTAGGAGTAGCAGACAGCATTAAAGATGATGAAGATACTGAAATTGTTGTTTCAGGAGTCACTAGATCAAGTGATGAAAATATTGGTAGGCTTATACTTGAAGAAGGATATACTGATACAGTTTCCTGTATATTAATACTACTGCCAGTATTAAGGAATTCCTCTGATGCAGTAAACAACATAGACGGGGTAGTAGTGGCAGACAGCATTGAAGATGATGAAGACACTGAAGTTGTTGTTTCAGGAGTCACTAGATCAACTGATGAAAACATTGGTAGGCCTATACTTGAAGAAGGATATACTGATACAGTTTCCTGTAAATTAATACTACTGCCAGTATTAAGGAATTCCTCTGATGCAGTAAACAACATTGACGGGGTAGTAGTAGCAGTTAGCATTGAAGATGATGAAGACACTGAAATTTTTGTTTCTTGAGTCACTAGATCAAGTGATGACAACATTGGTAAGCTTATACTTGAAGAAGGATACATAGATAAAGTTTCTTGTATAGTAATAAAATTGCCTGTATTAAGGAATACCTCTGATGCATTAAACATCATTGAAGGGGTAGGAGTGGCAGACAATATTGAAGATGATGGAAATACTGAACTGGTAGTTTCAAGAGTTTCAGTAGCTACTTGATCAAGTGAGGACATCATTGATAAGCCTATACTTGGTACTGATGCAGTAGAGATCATTCCCATGTTTTCAGATTCCAGTGATTCCGTTGGAAATACAGAGCTTGAAAATAATTGACTCAATGCATCATTTGTTATTAAAGATGAACTTGCATATTTACTGGTGCTAAATGAATTAATTGCTGATGTACTAGAAAGTGATGTTAATGCATCAAATTGTGATACAGAAGAAAATGCTAATGATTCTATTTGAGTAGAAAATGATTCATAAAAATCAATTGATTCTGATTTTAAATCAAATGATGTGGTCAGATGACTCACTTCAAATGATGACAATACTGATGATTGCGAAATTGCATGACTTAAGTATTGTGATGATGGATACATTTCTGTAGATACAACAGTCTCGTAAATATTAGATGATATCTCTGATCCAGATAGAGAGATGGAATGTGACAGTTCAAGGACAGCATCTGTGTCTGACAACATAAAAGAAGGAGACATGTCTTGTAGAGAAGATACATAAGGGTCCGCTAGAGACAGGTCAGTTGATGTAACTAGAGAACTTGAAAAATCTATAGTTGCATCAAGTTCAAATCTAGATGTTACCACAATGAATGTAGAAAGTTCATCGTATATCGAGCTGTCTGTTATTGTGAATGTTGGTGAAGAAACATCCGCAAATTTAGTTGAATACACAGTCTCTGCAATAGTGGTTGCTCTTGATGAACCTAGTGTATCTACTACCAACAGTGGAGTAAATGTTAATTCTAAAGTTGAAACAATATCTGATGGTTCCAAAGTTAGCACTTCTGTTGAGTATTCATATTCAGTAAATAATGAAAGATCTTCAGAGATTTGTACTGACAGCATTGGCATAGATAATTCTGCAGTTGGAATAATACCTGATGAGCCCAGTGTCACAGCCTCTGTTTCATATTCAGTAATTAATGATGAAAATAATGTTTGAAGATCATCAGATACCACTGTGCTTTCTGTAACATATGCAGAAATTGTTGTAAGAAAAACAACTGAGGTGGCTTCCTCTACATCCAGAACTTTTGTTGTGATTGAATCATAAGTTGTTGTTACCTCAATTATGTCTGTATAGTAAAAAGATGTGGAATCATACACAACCTCTGATGATTTTAAGTCCAATACTGAAGGTGTGTATGAGTCTGTTGATAAATATGAAAGGTTCACATTTGAGGTCATCTCTACAGGACTCACTGTTGAAAAAGGCATGATTGATGTCATTTCTACAGTAGATACAGTTTCATTGACATCAACTGTAAATGCCTCTAAACTGTCTGTCATGCTAATAGTTTCAATTATGTTCTCAGTGAAAATAGAGTCAGACTCATGAATAACGGACCAATCATCAACTGTAAGCGATGGTGTTGCTATACTAGACAAAGGAATATCTAATGATTCTGAAGCATCAATATAACTTTCTTCGACAGTAAATTCAGATTGTGTTACAAATATGGTGCTCCATTCTGATGAATAAATATCTGTGACTCTTTCAAACATATATGACACAGATTCTGTTGAATACAATTCAGTGGCTAGACTTTGCCAGGCATGATTAGGCATGATTGATGTCATTTCTACAGCAGATACAGTTTCATTGACATCAACTGTAAATGCCTCTAAACTGTCTGTCATGCTAATAGTTTCAATTATGATCTCAGTGAAAATAGAGTCAGACTCATGAATAGCGGACCAATCATCAACTGTAAGCGATGGTGTTGCTATACTAGACAAAGGAATATCTAATGATTCTGAAGCATCAATATAACTTTCTTCGACAGTAAATTCAGATTGTGTTACAAATATGGTGCTATCTCTGTCTCTTATACACATCTAGATGTGTATAAGAGACAGGGATCTTCCACAGTACTTGTTTGTGTCTTTTCCATACTTGTCAAGTAAGATTCTTCACTGATGGACAGTGTACTTGTATCTTCAATGGTAATATAACTTGTCTCATATATGTCAACTGTAGACTGTATTGCTGTCCAGTTTTCTAAGCCAAGGCTTGAGTAATTTGCTTCCGACATCTGAAAAAATGTTGAAAATCAATTAAAAGCAGAACTGTAGCTTGCTTGTTTTACAGAAAACCAAAAATTGTCATGTTATATCTGACAAGCAAATTTGTTGTTGGATGTGTGATTAAATTTGTTTTTTAAACCATAATACATGTTCACCAAGATTCAGAAGATTGAAAGCACAGTTATTTGTTTACCAGGAAACAACTTCATGCTCAACGCTCAACACACTACATAAGGTAACAACTGCTGATTAAGGTGCATTCTGTTTATTAACTAAATTCATGATCATCACAAGACTACAATTAATTTAAAACTTTTTAATACTTTCTTTTTCAAAAACACTTTGGTTAACTAACATGTGTTTTTACAATATTAATCCTTTGAAAATGACTCATGCTCAGATGCAACAACCAAAACAAAACTATAAAACCATATTAAAGTATCACTGGTTTTGTCTACATGGTTGGTATAAATCAGAAATGCATTAATTAAATTTCATATCAAATTTTAATCTGGAACATAAACAAGTGAAATAATAGAGAGAATCATGGCGCTACCATTTACTGACATATAAAAATGTATTGATAAATAAATTATTTAAAGTAACTACATTATGTCATAATGCAAATATACTGTCAGTATTGAGCTAATTCAAAAGTTGAAGAATAAAATAACAGTAGATATGATATGTCATTATTTCTCATTTAAAAATCAGAACAAGAAAAATCGGTTCCTCATCAATTAGCTGATGAAATGGCCACATTCTTTTTTAGGAGAATCAAGAAATTCTGTCTCATTATAATTTCAAAATAGTTTCAAATTGACCAAAATACGCTACAGTATATTGTTTTATGTAAATCTAAGATCTAGAAAAATCTTTAAAATGATTAATAAATTTAAATTACATTTAAAAAAGATCAACTTATTATCAGAGTACACAAATAAAAAATTGAAACGCAAGTTTTTAGTTGGAGGGAGTATATCTATGCATACTGTAAAAGTGGGCAGAAACTTCAGTTTGAACTGTACTGGGAAGGGTAACTATACACTATTCATCATGCCCTAGATATTCAACCATATAATGAAAATAAAATAAATTTAATACTGTCAATATATTCAATGGCAAACATAACAAAATATTAGCACAACCATTTGCAACATTCATGCCGATAATCATGCAATAAAATTAAAAGAAACAAGAACAATCAATAAACCCAAGCATTAAACCAACACAATCATGTCAAACAGGCCCTTAACCAGGGGAGTTTCCTATGAGAGCAAACTTTAGGTCCAAGGCCGCAGAGGGGGAGTCTAAAAGAAACACCCTGGAGCTGAAGCCATTGTTGTTTGTTGTTGTAAAGATTTTAGAAGAGGGGGAGTATTGGTTTATCAGAGATAAAGAGAGGGGTTTGGCGAAACATAGAAATCCTGGTCATGGGCCTGTACAAGCAATGTGATTTCCAGCCGACCTTCATACTACCTTACCTTAGGAGTTTTATGAGTGTCAGATGAAGTGTCTGGACCAAATGCTACCTTGCTATCAATTGCTGATATGACTGTGGTAATGAATTCAGTTTCCATGGTATCAAATGAATAAAAGCTTGGAGATGCAGGTTCTGTTGACATGGAAATGATCACCTATGAGGGCATAAACTTGGAAGTATTTTTGACCGAAATGTCCTATTTAATTGGCTGTAATCTATTGGTTAATATAATCACATTAGACTAAATGTGCTTCATGAAAAACTGAAATAATAATAATTATTATTAAAATAATAGTTAAACTATAAGTATCTTGATGGGTTACATTATTAACGTAGTTCCTACATTAATACTGACAGTTATATTAGTAATCTCATAAAGTGTGAGTATGTATAGATAGGTCTATATAATACCACAGATCCTATATACAGACGAATAAAAAACGATCTCCACTGGCTGCCATGATCCTATCCCTACAACACTACATACTTTGCTAATTGGATAATTGCCTCGGCCGAGATTTGTACCTCACCACAGGCAGCGTTTGAAGCTTTGAAAGGACGCCACCTATTGTTCAGAATGGTAAAACATCAGGGGAAGATATAAAAGCCTATATATTATAGTCTTTATTTCATAATGTTGGTAGCTGTTAAAGTCATAAAGTGGTATCAATTTCAAGGCAGTTTGAATAAAATTGCGCGAATTTTAACAAAATTTTCAGGTGTATTTTCAATGTTTGCTTTATAATATCAGTAAGTGAATTGCATTTCAATGGTGTAATAACTTAAAATGTGTATCTTAGAATCTGCTAATATTCTGTTTAATATAATGAGTTATTAACCTGTATATGTAAAACAATTTATATACAAATTTCGCTGTGATTTACGGTAATTAGCACATAATCAATTACACCGTATTAAATGCAGTCAGAAGTTTTTCAAGGAATATTGGGTGTGTGTAGATCGGTGATGTATTACTCTGTAGTAAAGTTGGGTCACATGTGTAATCACCGTTCGGGGTGTAAAATTAATTATAATATGCGACTTATTAGGTAATAATAGGCGTGATTAATTGTCCGTGATATTATTTTTTTAAATTATTATAATTTATTTTTTTGGTTGAACTCAAAATAAAAATATATAGTTATATTAATTTAATTTGTATCATTTCGGCTGAGGCCTACGAATCAATCAGGTACAGTACAGTGCATTGATGAAATGAGTTTTTCCGTGCTCTGCATAAATAGGCCTACATTTTCATGTGCATTAAGACAGAATAGGACAGGTCATCATCCTGGGATTACGGTATTTTCTTATTTAATAACAACTTAACATTCCTATATTAGTAAAAGCTTTAACTGTAAAGTTTAATATCATCAATCATGATTTTGTTCTTTCCGTTCTTGTTCAGCGCATAGCGGTTGGTAGCTCTGTGGGTCGCGGACTATACCACTCTGCTAGTAGTTAGGCCTAGAAATAGTTGGCACCATGGAACTGGTAGCGTCCTATTGTCTTGAATAGATAGATATATAAACATATTGTACATGATCAGGTACGATAAATAATTTGAATTATCAATATTAAAATTGTCAGGATCTGTGTAAATAGCTAGGCCTATCCACTTAAGCCCACTTACAGAATGTAGCTTCACAGCTGTGTGTATCCTTAAAATGCCCGCTGGTGCTAGTACGCTCCTGGAAAATCAATTACCTACGCACCTATGATCAAGGAATATACATGTAGTGTTGCCTATCCGTCTGTATATAGAATCTATGATAATACTATAACATGTATCAAACAAGGACAGGATATGCTCACCTGTTCCTAGTATTTCTGATGTGACAATATTAGTAAAAGTCTCAGCAAAATCAGATGGAGTTTGATTAGTGTCCAGAATAGACCCCTCTATCTGGCGAATTGTTAATGTTGCTAAATGGTCAGGTGAATTAAAATACGATGATACAAGAGTAGATTTGTGTGTATTATATGTTGGAGAAGGAAGCTTTTCTGTGATGAATTCAGTTTTAAATATTTCAGATGTCACAACAATATAATCATCTAATACAGACATCAAAATGGTTGATGGAGAAAGCTCACGGTCAGGTGATGATGGTAAATATGTTTTCAATATATCTGATGAAACTACCTCTGTGATGATATCAGTCTCAAATATTTCAGATGTCACAATAGTAAAATCATCTAATAAAGACATCAAAATGATTGATGGAGAAAGCTCAAGGTCAGGTGATGATGGTAGACATGGTTCATATATATCTGATGAAACTACCTCTGTTATGACTTCAGTTTCAAATATTTTAGATGTCACAATAAACAAATGGTCTGGTGATGATGGTAGATATGTTTCCAATATATCTGTTGAAACTACCTCTGTGATGACTTCAGTTTCAAATATTTCTGAGGTTACTATATTAAGCGCATCAGTAGCAGACATCAATGTGGAAGATGAAGAAAGACCTAACATATCTGATGATGGTAGTAGTAATGTTTCAAATATATCTGATGAAACCACCTCTGTGACGAATTCAGTTCCAAATACTTCAGACGTCACAATATTAAACCCACCGGTACCTGACATCATTGTGGTTGATGGTGAAAGCTCAAGCGAATCAGATGATGGTAGTAGTAATATTTCAAATACATCTGAAGAAACTACCTCTGTGATCAATTCAGTTTCAAATATTTCAGATGTCACAATAACCAACTGATCTGGTGATGGTTGTGCATATGTTTCCAATATATTGGATGAAACTACCTCTGTGATGACATCAGTTTCAAATATTTCAGATGTCACAATAATCAACTGATCTGGTGATGATAGTAAATATGTTTCCAATATATCTGATGAAACTACCTCTGTGATGACTTCAGTTTCAAATATTTCTGAGGTTACTATATTAAGCTTATCAGTAGCAGACATCAATATGGATGATGGAGAAGGACCTAACAGGTCTGATGATGGTAGTAGTAATGTTTCAAATATATCTGATGAAACCACCTCTGTGACGAATTCAGTTCCAAATACTTCAGACGTCACAATATTAAACCCACCGGTAACTGACATCATTGTGGTTGATGGTGAAAGCTCAAGCAAATCAGATGATGGTAGTAGTAATATTTCAAATACATCTGAAGAAACTACCTCTGTGATCAATTCAGTTTCAAATATTTCAGATGTCACAATAATCAACTGATCTGGTGATGATAGTAAATATGTTTCCAATATATCTGATGAAACTACCTCTGTGATGACTTCAGTTTCAAATATTTCTGAGGTTACTATATTAAGCTCATCAATAGCAGACATCAATATGGATGATGGAGAAGGACCTAACATATCTGATGATGGTAGTAGTAATGTTTCAAATATATCTGATGAAACCACCTCTGTGACGAATTCAGTTCCAAATACTTCAGATGTCACAATATTAAACCCACCGGTACCTGACATCATTGTGGTTGATGGTGAAAGCTCAAGCAAATCAGATGATGGTAGTAGTAATCTTTCAAATACATCTGAAGAAACTACCTCTGTGATCAATTCAGTTTCAAATATTTCAGATGTCACAATAACCAACTGATCTGGTGATGGTTGTGCATATGTTTCCAATATATTAGATGAAACTACCTTTGTGATGACATCAGTTTCAAATATTTCAGATGTCACAATAATCAACTGATCTGGTGATGATAGTAAATATGTTTCCAATATATCTGATGAAACTACCTCTGTAATGACTTCAGTTTCAAATATTTCTGAGGTTACTATATTAAGTTCATCAGTAGCAGACATCAATATGGATGATGGAGAAGGACCTAACAGGTCTGATGATGGTAGTAGTAATGTTTCAAATATATCTGATGAAACCACCTCTGTGATGAATTCAGTTCCAGATACTTCAGATGTCACAATATTAAACCCATCAGTACCTGACAATATTGTGGTTGATGGAGAAAGCTCAAGCAAATCGGATGATGGTTTTAGTAATGTTTCTAATACATCTGACGAAAATATCTCTGTGATTACTTCAGTTTCAAATATTTCAGGTGTCACAATAACCAACTGATCTGGTGATGGTTGTGCATATGTTTCCAATATATTGGATGAAACTACCTCTGTGATGACATCAGTTTCAAATATTTCTGATGTTACAATAATCAACTGATCTGGTGATGATAGTAAATATGTTTCCAATATATCTGATGAAACAATCTCTGTGATGACTTCAGTTTCAAATATTTCTGGGGTTACTATATTAAGTTCATCAGTAGCAGACATCAATGTGGGTGATGGAGAAGGACCTAACAGGTCTGATGATGGTAGTAGTAATGTTTCAAATATATCTGATGAAATCATCTCTGTGATGAATTCAGTTCCAAATACTTCGGATGTCACAATATTAAACCCACCGGTACCTGACATCATTGTGGTTGATGGAGAAAGCTCAAGCAAATCAGATGATGGTATTAGTAATGTTTCTAATACATCTGACAAAACTATATCTGTGATTAGTTCAGTTTCAAATATTTCAGGTGTCATAATAACCAACTGATCTGGTGATGGTTGTGCATATGTTTCCAATATATGGGATGAAACTACCTCTGTGATGACATCAGTTTCAAATATTTCTGATGTTACAATAATCAACTGATCTGGTGATGATAGTAAATATGTTTCCAATATATCTGATGAAACAATCTCTGTGATGACTTCAGTTTCAAATATTTCTGGGGTTACTATATTAAGTTTATCAGTAGCAGACATCAATGTGGGTGATGGAGAAGAACCTAACAGGTCTGATGATGGTAGTAGTAATGTTTCAAATATATCTGATGAAATCATCTCTGTGATGAATTCAGTTCTAAATACTTCAGATGTCACAATATTAAACCTATCAGTACCTGACATCATTGTGGTTGATGGAGAAAGCTCAAGCAAATCAGATGATGGTATTAGTAATGTTTCTAATACATCTGACAAAACTATATCTGTGATTAGTTCAGTTTCAAAGTTTCAAATATTTCAGATGTCACAATAATCAATATTTCAGGTGTCACAATAACCAACTGATCTGGTGATGGTTGTGCATATGTTTCCAATATATCGGATGAAACTACCTCTGTGATGACATCAGTTTCAAATATTTCAGATGTTACAATAATCAACTGATCTGGTGATGATAGTAAATATGTTTCCAATATATCTGATGAAACTACCTCTGTGATGACTTCAGTTTCAAATATTTCTGAGGTTACTATATTAAGCTCATCAGTAGCAGACATCAATGTGGATGATGAAGAAAGACCTAACAGGTCTGATGATGGTAGTAGTAATGTTTCAAATATATCTGATGAAATCATCTCTGTGATGAATTCAGTTCCAAATACTTCGGATGTCACAATATTAAACCCATCAGTACCTGACATCATTGTGGTTGATGGAGAAAGCCCAAGCAAATCAGATGATGGTATTATTAATGTTTCTAATACATCTGACGAAACTATCTCTGTGATTAGTTCAGTTTCAAATATTTCAGGTGTCACAATATTCAACTGATCTGTGGATGACAGTAAATATGTTTCCAATATAACTGATGAAACTACCTCTGTGATGACTTCCATTTCAAAAATTTCTGAGGTTACAATAAGTGTATCACTAGCAGACATCAATGTGGATGATGGAGAAAGACCTAACAGGTCAGATGTTGGTAGTAGTAAAGTTTCAAATATATCTGATGATTTCACTTCTGTGATGAATTCAGTTTGAAATACTTCAGATGTTACAATATTAATCTCATCAGTAGCTGACATCAATGTCATTGATGGAGAAAGCTTAAGCGAGCCCAATGATGATAACAGATATGTTTCTAACACATTTGAGGAAACTAGTTTTGTGGTGAACTCAGATTCAAAGATTTCTGAGGTCACAAAAATAAACTCATCAGTAGCAGACCTCAATGTGGTTGATGGTGAAAGCTCATGTAGATCAGGTGATAGTGGTAATGTTTCAAAACCATCTGAAGAAACCTCTGTGACTAACTCAGTTTCAAATATTTTTGAGGTTACAATAATAAACCCATCAGTAGCGGACATCAATGTGGTTGACAGAGAAAGCTCAAGTAGTTCAGATGGTGGTGGTAATGTTTCAAATATATCTACCTTTGTGATGACTTCAATTTTATATATTTCAGATGTCACAATAATTAACTCATCAGTTGCGAGTGTCAATGTGGTTGATGGAGAAGGCTCAAGAGGATCAAGTGACTGTGGCAGTAATGTTTCCAAAAAATTTGATGAAACTACTTCTGTAATGACTTCAGTTTGAAACAATTTGGTTGATGGAGAAAGCTCATGCAGGTCAGGTGATGATGATAGATATGATTCCGTGATGGCCCGAGTGTTGAATACATTAGATGTCCCAACAACAAACTCATCAATGGCTGACATCGAAGAAGATGATGGTGAAAGTTCAAAAGAAATGTGTAGTGATGGTATAAATTGTTTAATTAGGACAGGTGATGAGGGTGTTTCAAAGACAACGGAAGAAGCAGAAATGTCTTCTGCAGAGATAAGTGTTCCTAATGTTGTTAATGTTTGAAAGAAAGTTTCTGTAAGTTCTGAATTTACTTGTGTAGACACAACACGAGGAGATAATGAATTATATAAAACATTTGATGATGTCTGTAGGCTATTATAAACAGGCAATGTTCCTGTAAACTTGTTAATTGTCTTAGAATCCAATATTTCGGTACTAAGTGAATTTGCGTGAACTATGTTAGTATGGCCATTAAACGAAGATGAAGTTAATGTGAAAGCAGTGCTGTTACCATTTGTGACAGAAAGCATTAGTGATGCAAGCGATACCTGTAAACAACAACATACACATTTAGTACCATGAACATTGAACCATAAACACATAAAGCTTGACAAAATAGACAGTGAATGCCAATTAATTTGGTAAAAAACAGATACTGCGTCTTTTTTGCAAGTTGATAATAATATTGATTCCAAATTATTTTTCCTGTTTGTAATCAATTAGATACATTTAACATGTACTGACAATTAACGATTTCTGGTTTTTACCAAACATTGACAAATGTAAAGCGCTGACAATGGTGAACAAAGTGAATGCCATCCAGTAATAGTACATATAATGTGCCACAATAAGATTACCAAATAATACAAGCTTTAGCTGATAATATATGAAATTTACTGGTATGTGATTTTAATTCAATTTCTTATAATTACTCATCATAGGAAATATTCATAAAATATTAATCAAAATATAAAAATTAACAAAACCACCAGCATTATTGTTCCCTGGATTTTGCAAAAAAATATATCTAAACTGCAACATGCACAGATAAAAAACAAAGTTAATATAACAGCAGCCAGTATTGTACTTGGGATAATTCAGCATTTAAAAACATAACCACATCAAACAAAAAATAATATAAACTTAAATGCCATGCTAAGCAACTAACTAAGCAGTTCACAAAGTATATTTCTAGCTGCAAACAAGAATATACATTATTCTAACATAACAAAAATACTTGGGAAATAATTAGAAATCTACCTGAGACGTCGGTATGGCTTCTGTTGCTAGACTAGGATCTAGTGTCTTCATTGACGTGTAAAATACTTCTGATGTCTCTATTACTGATGACAAATAATATTCAGTGCTATTCATTGATCCATCCTCGATGACTGTTTCATTAACAGATGATAAACCTATAAAAGAAAATCAATCATTTTATACCACAAGTGGGCAAAGTACTGCTCAGGCCCCATGTAGTGAGATGGCAATTTTGTGGCGGCCTGCAATTTCACCTAATCTGTGCAACTGTTAATTAGCTATTTATAAAACAATTAATAAATGTTTCTCATTTGTACAATAAGATAAAAGTTAGAAACCCGGATCACAATCACTGCATCAAACCCTCCCACAAATTTGTATACATAAGTTTAATGATCAGAGAAAGTCGAGTGACTGTACTGTACTTTTAGTGAAGATGTTTAGACAGAAACATTTAAAGTGTTTTGTTGCACAAATTTAGTAATAAGATAAGTCCCTGTAAATGATATTAAAGTACAGTAGGTAAAAAATACAGTCTTAATATGTATGCAGCACAAGTCATTCAACTGTTCTTCTAACACCTACATTTTCAGCGAATTTAATATCAAATTATAATATGAATAATGAAAACAAAAGACAAATATTTAACTTGTGAATAACAGAGGCTAACATTCTGTTTATTGATTTTCTCTCCAGTCTGGTTCAACCACTTTAATACCAATATTAATTACGCACTTCATCAAGCACGGCTTTAAATGGAGAATAAGAAAATTATCAACCAAATGAATGTAAGCGTTCATAAGGCATCACATAACTTGACTTTAATTAAAGGGTAATATCATTTCCTCACAACAAATTGATTCTCTATAGTATTACCATTAGTAAGTAGATCCTGAAGTGTATACTTCTGTTTCTAGTATTAGATATATTAAGTTTAAAGATCACTAGGCAATAGTGTCATTATGAATTGATCGATAAATTATATATAATATTATAAAATATACAATTGAACTATTAAGATGAACAGGGGACTAAAAGGATACATTAGCTAATGACAACTACATACTTGTATATTTCTATTTCCTATGTATGCTGCATGAATGGACAATTCATCACATAATATGGTGGATTGGAAAAGCTCAATACATAATAAAGTTGGATATATACAGTTTTTATTATTAATGATTATTATTTATTAGCTGGTAGGTTTACAATATTTAATTTTATTTATAATTATTTACTTCATTGAATATAATTTATTGACAGAATTCACAAAAGAATAAATTGGAAAACAGAGGATTCATTGTAGAAAATGTTTGGATTTTAAATTATGCTGTATTTCTGTTTTTAGCTAAGGTATAACAAATTTAAAGACATCACTTATTGCTTATTTAAGATGTGTACACAGTCTTATATTTGTATAAGAACAATCATGGAATAATTAGATCCCTACAAATCATTTGATAAGGAATCATGACAGTCATACAAACACCTGGGATGTACTATTATGCCCTGTGGCTGTTTATTCTTAGCCGCTAATGATTGATTATGATACATATCCATATTTATTCAATGTACAGTATTACATTTGTTGGCTGCCATGGGCAACAAAACAACTAAAATATTAATTTACTATTTTCAATTTGTCAGTCTTGTTGGTAGTTGATATATTACAGTATTTTATAGATTTCTTTTAATTCTTATATTTCTAGAAGATATTGAAATACTGTACTGTAAGCATTGTACCTGTGAATGTGCTGAATAACTTATGTTTTGAAAAATAAAAGAAATACCACATTCTTTGTAATTGTTTGGTTTTTAAAGCCTAATTCAAAATAATTACCTTTTCCTCAGAACAAGCTTAAATTATTCATAAAAAATTATTTCAATATCAACAATACTTGAAATCACACTTTGCACATTTATCATAAATGTCATATTTGTTTTTGATACTAAAATGTATAAATTGCATTTAAGTGCCAAGTTTTGCAAGTGCAACATTTCAGTGGTGCATCTCGGGCGGGAGGATGCATGGGGGACACTTATCCGAGAACTACTCACGCTTCCCCAGTCGCCTTCACAAAAATCACAGGCAAGAAGTTAAAAATCACCTTATTTTCCGAATTAGCGCCCCCTCAACTGATCATCGAGCCCCTTTCTCTCTCCTTTGCTCCCCCCATCAGCACCCCACTTCAAGACATGCCACTGCAACATTTGCCATAGGGGTGGAAGAGGGCTCCCCTTAAAGATCCAAGGAATGTTTTCCTGCTTGGAAATGTTTTTTCCAACATTTTCAGAGATATTTGCATAGTAAAGGATGAAAAATGACTCTGTTCTACTTTCAGATACAATCTAATAAAATAATAAAATGTTTACTTTTAAATAGCAAAAATATTTGACAAGTTTACAATGACATTGTAATAAAAATAAAATCAATTGTTTTGAATGGTAAATGAACAAATAATTATAATGAAGTTATTTTTTATATACATGTAGTATTTCAGTGCCATGAGTTTTGAATGCAGCAGTTGTTGTTGTTGAAACTTAGTTGCTTAGCGAGTTGCTACGGTGATTAACACTTTGTTGAACTTTGGTCAAAATGCAATTACTCATGGGTATTAGTTGTGCCTCAACCCACATCTAAAGCAAGTATATTTACACAGTGTTTATCAAACAAACACATTAATAAAACAATTCACTGATTATTAATCCATTTTATATTGGTAAAGATATCAGTCTGTGTTATATCTTGAAAAATACACCCTACTCAATGGTGATGGTTGACAAAAGCGAATGGAAGAAATTTAGACATTTAAGTCTGGGTACATCCCGGCATAAGTAAGTACTACAACAACCCTTAAATCGGTTACAATACAAAGATTGTTTAATTTTATTTAATTATTTATTCAGTCAAAATTACAACAAACACATTAATAAAACAATTCACTGTTTATTAATCCATTTCATATTGGTGAAGATATAGTGTCAGTGATAATATATTTCAAAAATACATCCTAACTATGGTGGTGGTGGACAAAAGAAATTAGACATTTATGTCCGAGAACGTCCCTGCAGAAAATACTAAAATAATAATCCTTAAATTGGTTACATCAGAGATTAATTATTTAATTAGTCAAAATTACAGCAAACACATTAATAAGACAATTCACTGTTTATTAATCTATTTCATATTGGTGACGGTATAGTGTCAGTGATAATATCTCCAAAAAATACATCCTAACTATATTGGTGGTGGACAAAAGAAAAAATTAGACATTTAGGTCTGGGTACGTCCTAGTGTAAGTAAGCACTAACTATAGACAACTCTTAAATTGGTTACCATAACAGAGATTATTTAATTTTATTTAATTATTTATTCAGTCACAATTACACAAGGAAAAAAGAAATCTGATAAATGTAGGAACTAGGGCAAAGCAAAGTGAACTTTATCATATGTTATATGCTAGCGTTTGTTAGGGCCTAACCCAAATACAAATTATCTGATAACTAACATATAAACTTGTATAAATAAAGTATAAATATTTTTTTAAATACCATGAATCAACTTAGCTATGATCTTAATATTTTAAAAAATTATTCAATTATAATATATTTTCCTATTTTAGATCTCCCTGGCAGCATTTCAGTTATGCCTCAACCACATCTAAAACAAGTATAATAACACAGTGTGTATTAATAAACACATTAATAAAACAATTCATTTTTTATAAATCCATTTTATATTAGTAAAGATATAATGTCAGTCAGTGATAATATTTATTTAATCATTCAGACACAATTACAAAAGGAAAAAGAAATCTGATAAATGTAGGAACTTGGGCAAGGCCAGGTGTGATTTTTCATACTCTAGCGTGGGCCTAACCCAGTTCAACATTATCCGACAACTAACAAACAAATTGAAACTTGTATATTAAAGTATAATTATATCTATAAACACCATGAATCAAATTACCTATGATTTTAATATTTTTAAAAAGTTAAATAATATATTCTCCCAACAGGGAATGAGAAAAATGATTTTTTTCGCCCAATTAAAATGGAACGAGAAAGATGATTTTTTTTTTCTAGAGGGCATTTTTGATATTTTACTAGAAATAGAATTAACTTTAAAATCGTTATTGGCCATTACGACTTTCCCCCTTTAGCAGCGTGACATCAATGAAAGGTACTGTAACCAGAGATCGTATAGCGCTGCATTTAACGCCGAGCACAACGCTATATAATTTTTGGTTACAGTACCTTACACTGACGTCACGTCAGGGGTAAATCATAATAACAAAATAAAAGAATTCAAGTTGATTCTATTACTAATGACATATAAAATCCCGTCCCGAAAAAAATATCATCTTTCTAGTTCCCTTTTAATCATTTAGAACTCTCGGCATTTTGCGCTACTGTATATACAATCCCACTTACTTTTAAACGAAAGCGAAGGTAGATGCTAATGAAAGACAGATAATTATATGGCACAGATAAGGAGAGAGCTTTTTAAGGGATGGTCATGAAAACCAGGTAAACTATGATGTGAGCTCTGAGATATCTAGAAGCCTGGCGTGGTAAGATGTCAGCAAATTGGTAGATCTAAGCACTAGACACGATAACGACACGACGACATATCATCGCATCGTTTATATTCTTCAACACTGAACGCATTTTTATTTTGTCATTGTCGTGTCTAGTGTAAATATAGCTTTACACAGATTGAAAATGAATAATTACGGTATGTAATGCCGTTAGTAGCACAATGTCATGTCATTTGCATGTGTATACACAACTGTTTATTATTTGAGTTCTAAACAGTACTTGAAAGCCTAAGCGGTACCAGTATATAATATAATATATTTGGTAAAATCTACAAACAATTTATTATTTATTTTGTTTAATTAAATTCCACCCTCCATTGTATTTTTAATATTCAATGTGCAAAAAATACACAAAAAATTTTAAAAACAGGCAAATTGCATGAACGTCAGCTGATGAATCCATTTCAGCTCCCTACTTGCTGGTGGCTGCAAGTAGCAGGTTGTCATTTAAATACAAAAAACTGTTACATCATATTAATTACACCAGGCTATTAAATTTATAGTAAATCACTATTGAACATTTTATGACTTGTAATTAAGGTCAATTTATC